ACATCCAAAAAAACAGATGCTGGCAAGCCTTCTTGCAACGGAATCAGGTGTTCCGCTTGCTGTTCAGTTGGTGGAGTTGGTAAAAGGGAGGCACGTGCCGTTCCGACGAGCAAACTCTGCACCTTCATGCAAGAGCGAGAACGTGCATCTGACAACCTGGTTGCTGCGGTTGACGCCTGGGCACGCCGCCTGGTGAAGACAAGAAGAAGAAGGTTGTGACCCTGTGCCGGGAGAGCTGGAAGGCACAAATGATCCTGCAAGGGCACAGATGGCCTTGAGCAGACGATATTTAAAGACCTGGGATGCTTTCGCCAGATGGCTCAGATTGATCAAGGGGAAGGAGGTCTTCCCAAATGCTGCTGACCTTATTGGCGACATGTTTGCTAGGCTCGCAACCCGTGCTGCGCGTGTCAGCGCGCCTAGACAAGCTCAGTATCTTTTTCAGCCAGCCACCGACGAGATCTAGCAAACACATTGAAGTTGGAGTGAACAGCGTGCGCCCTCTTTGCACCCTCTTGGATGTGCCCCACGCGAAGGAAAGAAGAAAAGAAGGTCACGTTGTGGAGGCCCCTGTTTTTCCACTATGTCTGTTATCAAGCAATTTTTGCTCAAACATGCTTGTAGTTGCATTTTTCTGGACAGCGGCTTCCATCGTGTGATCTTGTGGCCCTTTGAAAGGGTCTCCAAGATGGGGCGGCCAAAAAAACCAAATCAAGTCAAGGGCGCCGTCTTGTCGCTCAGCGAACCGTGAACCCAAGCAAGGGGCTGGCAATCCTCGCTGCGTGGGCTTAAGGTGCAGGTGCGTTGACCTTGTTTGATAAGACGTCCCATGACCTATCAGCAGCCTTTCAGCAGAGCAGAGACGCTTAATTAAGCTGTTTGCAGTGAGCCGTTGTACTTAAGACCTTGGACTCCTAAAAGGCTTGAAGTCTGAGGCTCCAAGCTGAGAAGTGCCAGATCCTCCCTAACTCTGTGGCCACGCAAGCCCCGTTTGTTCGGTAAAGTTATCATGGGCCATGGTTTGGGACACTGGGCCAGGTCCATTGAGCAAAGTTGGTAGGCGTGTACCTACACTGAGGCACCACACATTTGTCTACCACAACCCAACAGCAAGTTTGTTCCTTATAGAGTTAAGGATAGCCATTGTCCCGCACATCCATGAGCAATTGAGCCGATCGTTGGGCGTGTTCTCCCTTGATACCCGACCCACTTTCACAGTAGCCATTAGTCAAGCCCCATTCCATATTATGTGTCGGGACTCAAGTGCGAATTAGGTGGACGAAATCCACGAAACCATGGTTGAAGCCATTCGGTATTTCTGTTGGAGATTCTCTTGTGGTGCGATTTCTGGATTTTGCGTCCATCCCCGGTTTTAACCACTTCCCTGATCTTGGGTTAGTTAAGTCCGCGTTCCATCCGGTCAGGGCTCAGGTGGGACTCAAGTGGGGATCACGCGGGTTGGCCATGGGATCCAGCAAGAAATCAAGCAAATTGCGAGGCTTATGTGGGTGTCTCCTCCTTCGTGTGTGGAGGCGAATCAACGCCCGCGTCGAATTGGCGATGCAAATAGGGAGCCAAAGGAGAAAAGGGCCACCATGTAGTCGTGTTCTGTTCCCGAAGTTTTTTGAGACACGTCTCCCATTTGAGATCTTCGCGTCCATCCATCACGCCGCCAGGTGTGGGACTCAAGGGGCTGCGTGGCGGCAGACCCCATGAAGCTGTTCGAGGAAGTTGCCAAAGGCCGGCCTTGCCGAGCTCGGGCGGAAAGCGGAAAAGCAATTGTTGCCTTGGGCTTGGGCCGCTCCGGGAAGTCGCTTGGATTGGCTTGGGCAGTAGAACCCAAGAGGGCTTTAACGTTGAATCACGACCAATTAGGGCCGGGTGAGCCTATGTGCCTCGGTCGGAACACCTTTTTACCTGAGCTTGTTGCGGACGGTCCCTTCAATGCATAATGTTGCGCGCCATGATGAACGATTCCTGATAAGGGACCATGGCCCACAACCCTCATGTGGCTGGCCCGAACCAGCCTTGTGTGTTTCTTTCTACTGAGCTTTTTGCGCAGAGGTCAACTACCTCCAAGAAAACCCACAGAAGGGGGACCACACTTCTGTTAAATGAAGTACCCTTGCCAGAAGCCGAACGGATAAGTTGTGTTCTAACTGGTATCCGAAACAGGAGGCCTTCTGTACTTGGGAGGCGGAGGTTTGGCTCCCCTTCCTGCTCAGCAGAGATCACTATGAACGGGGACGATGCGCGTGATTGTGATTGGGAGACCGGCGGGAAATGTTCAGGCAAAGCCGCAAAACAAGGGTGCCGTAGAACAGATAATTCTCTTGTTTCCCGAAAGTGTCGCGAAGGGCTCTTCGGGCAAATTGCCTGCTACCTCGCACGAGCATACCTGCACAAGCGCACTTGCACGAGCCCTACTTTTGGGTCATGCGGCTGCACCTATCTTTTAAGGCTCATGGAGACTCCAGGTAGAAGGAAATCATCTGGGATCCATTTTGGGGCATCCCCGTTTGACACAGACCCAAATTGCACTTGGCCGAACAGATTCAACCAAGTTTGGCACCTGTCACCGGAGCTCTTCGATTCAGCTCCTTTTTCTTTGATCGCATGGCGAAGACCCCAAGAACATATCTCAAATTTCAGGTGTTGGGGGGGGGGTGAATGAATGGACATAATCCTGCAGTTGAGATATGTATGAAGACCTATACTGCTTGATACACCATCAACTGGTGTGCTATAAGTACTTTCTGATAAACCACCCTGACCGGAAGTGTGGGAAGACCGCTGTCCTTTTCGGAAACCCCCTGTCCCGGCTACCTGGCGGCAGATGTTTGAAGAGAGACTTGTTCAACGCAGGAGCTCTTCTAGAACCAAAGCCCACCCACCCACCCAACAAACCACCCACCAACCAAACCAACCAAACCAACCAAACCACCCACCCACCCACCCACCCACCCACCCAACCAACCAACCAGCCAACCAACCAACCAACCAACCAACCAACCAACCAACCAACCAACCAACCACAAAACCAACCACCCAACAACCGTAAGGCCACTTCGGTGGATCAGGTGACCCCTGTTCGGTCGATAGGCGGAGGTGCTGCAGGCCACGGAGGCTCCGGATACCGAGGCTGCAGCGCCTCGCTCAGGGAAGCCAAAGGGACACGACTTTAAGATCGACCGACATTAGTCACTTTCGAAAGCTGGCTTCTGCCATGCCAAGCCTATCGCTCGCTTTGATCTGTGGGAAATTGACTCAAACTATCCTCGACAAAACTGATATCATCCCATTATGTTGGGTAACAAAAAAAGTCACGAGGAAAAAGGCACCTTTTCCCAGTCTCAACATTAGCAACTCGTTCAGGTTGATTTCCTTTTAGTCTTCCCACCATCTGAAAAGGGGTCCCCCCAAGTTTGAGAAACACCCATGTCTCTTCAAAAGGCAAATATGGGGAACTATCCCTTGACCCACTTGGGAGTTTGCGTGGTTGGAAAGATGTTTCCGAAAGGAACCAGCCAGGCGTGCTCAGAGCCTTGTGCACAAGGGCGGATCGGTTTCCTCCTGAGGACCGTACTGATCAGGGGTGAAGGCAATGATCTGCTTTATGACGTTTTTCTCACTACCATCCACCGCATGGTTGGTATTTTTTGAGGGTAGCTTTTTCAAGCTTTTTTTCAAGGGGTGTCACTGGCAGCTGATGTCGAGTGGGAGATGGTTTGGTCTTTGAAATGGCATTGTGTCGAAATAGGGACCCCAAACAAATTGCAGTTGTCCTTACTGATCACAAAGTCCTCGCATGCAGAATGTTGCATCTCCAGCGTTTTCCAGGTGCGACAGTTCCTTCAGCCTCGCTATGGGCTGATCTTCATGAGGTCTGCTATCCATCTCTGTTTCAGTGCATGATGGGTTCTGGAGCCTTGACAAGGCGATGCAAGTTTGACCTTGTGTTTGATTTCACGGGATGTGGAAGCAGCTTCAATCCAGTCTTGTAGTGTGTTCGACCCTTTCAGTTTGATTGCTCCCTAGACGTATTTCTCATATCCGCCGATCGATTTGGTCACTGGTCGCAACCGACCCCCTGGTATTCAATGAAGCCCTGATTTGGACGCCCACCTCAGGTATGGACCCCTGCAGTATGAACCCCTGACATTGCGTTCCCAGATGTTCGGTGAGTTGACCTTATCATGGCGACAAACTGTGGGAGTTCACTGGCGTCCATTTGCCGAAAGAGTTGTTTTCTTTTTGTTTTCTCTTCTGTCGGTTGTCTTCTGGGAATCGATTTCACCGGAAGTTATGTTCTCATTTGTCCCAGGGGAGTTCTGACCAGTGGAACACCTTGGAAGGCGCGCCTGCGGATCCGGCAGAGCTGGCCCGGACGACATGGGCCCGGCGAACCAAACAAAATGCCGGGAGTTGGAGTCAAAAACTCCCGGGTTCTTGGCTGTTTGGAATGGTTTGGACCATTTTAGTGGTACATGCAAGGTTTGGTTACTTTTTGTTGGGCCATCTCAGGAAGCGAGATTCACCCAAAAGGGGCTGCCCTGGGGGTGTCGGACCCCCTTCGGCAAGCCATGCAATTTGTGTCGATTCAAACCATTGGAAGTCACGATATGAAAAGCATTTGGGGTCTCCAATGAGAAGCCCCATACGATGTACATCTCTCAAGTGCATAACGCTTCACATCAACTACTGAAACTCGGGGGCCCTAAAATAGGGCCGGTTTCCTTTCGCTTCCCTTTAAAACAACCCAAAGAAGGGTACCAACTCAAAAAACATATACCCGTAAACGGTTGTCTGAAAGGCAACCTTTGGCTCGCTTGTTCTTCGTTATCGCAATCAGCTCGAATCGGCTTTTGGCAATCTGATTTCCTTCTCAGCGAGTACGCAACTTGTTGAGGGTGCCCCTTGTGGGCTTTGTTCAAGGAAAATCTTTTAGGGAACCCACCTTCCCCCACCCCTTCCCCACCCCCCGCCCCTACCCCCCACCCCCACCTGCCCCCACCCTCCCCAACCACCCCTTCCCCACCGCAAGAAGCTTCTTTGTTTTGAACGGGGTTGGTCTGAGGATGTCTGAGGTCTGCCTCGGCCTTTCTTGGTTCTAACAAGTCCCTTTTCGCTGGGGCAAGTACAAGACTTGTCCCGTGCGACCCCTTGGCTGGGACGGTATTTGGAAAAGGTTCACAGGAGATTCACACAGGCTCAGGGCTCACTAGATGTTGTCTTTTTGGTGACTTTAAGCTTCTTAGCGCGGCGCCCGAAGGCGCTCTTTGTGAAACCTCCGTCTCGTCCACTGTGACTCGACGGTATCCCCTTCTTGCAAAGGGATGGAAATCATGCGAATGTCTGCAACCAAAGTGGGCAGGTCCCCAATGATGACAGGGCGGAGAACGGACTCGGGCTGCACTCACACGTGGGGTGCAGTCCGAAGAAAGAGACGGGTGACTTTAAACTTCACCTTGTGAGCCAATCAAAGTGAGTTTCCTTCCAGTCGGGTGATGAGGGATGAGGATAAGCAGGGGAATGGGAAATGGAATGATCCCGAGATAAACCATCCAGCTGCTGGTTTCCTTTAATCCGGGATTTGCTTCTGGTTCATTCCACCAACACCCGGAACGGTCATTCCCTACCTCTCGCATCGACAATTTTTTTTGGCTGTTCCCAGATGCCATGTCATCATCAAGCACTTCAAGCAGAGTGAGGGTCACGCAGCACCTTCATTTTTTCCCGGGCAGATCAGCTGCGAGGTCTGTTTCCACTCAACAAAATCTTGCCATTGGATTGGTGAACCCTAAGAGGGGCTTAGACCACTGGCCCACAATCGCGTTCCGTTGAACCCCTTCTTGGGAAGAGCGAATGGGTGAATCATCCACACGTGTTGTTTGGTTTGCGCAGGGATATCTTATGCGTAAAAACTCATGCAAACACCCGATTTAACTTCTGGTTTTGAGACTGACTATGGTTGTGGAGAAGCTGTCGATCCATTTGCCGCCTCGGGAATCCCCTTTAAATGATCAAGGAGTCATGGCATCACAGAAAACAGCCTAGCAATTATTGAGCGGCACATACTTGACTGCTATTGGGGTTGATCTTTAGACCTTAACTTGTTGGGAAATAAAGGTGTTTTCCACTAAACCCCAAAAGTTGATCATTTTGCAGGGGGGTCAACAGCAATCAAGCACATGGCGCCCCAAATGGCTCAATCCACGGCGCATCTTCGTTTTTCAGGCGGTGCCTGCGCCGCGGCGCCTCCGCCTCCTACGGCGGCCGCAACGCCTGCGCCTTTGGCGGAAGCGCCTCCTGCGGAGCCTGAGGCTGTTTGCGCGTGAACTTGGGGCTGTGGGTCAAAACCAATGGCGGTGCACCACCCATTTTAGAACCTATTTTAGTGGGATTGGGATGTTCACTGGGGGTACGATTTGGATTGACCCATGGCCTTGTCAAGGTCAGAGCTTTAAAAACAATCCGAAGGGGCCAAGGGTCTTAAATGGCCACGTGGCAAAATCGGTAAAATAGGGAGACCCCCCCAAACATCGTGGGAGGGGTCCTCTTGGCTTCGTTTTGGATCCTTCCAACCTGAAAAGAGCGCCCCGTCAAAGCCACAATCCGTGTAGGTTCTAAGGTTCTACTTAGGCCCTTTGGTCCCTGAACGGTTCCTTACTCAAACACTTGGATCCTCAGGAGGTTTCCTGAGAGGCTCGGGCCAACGGCTAGTAGCTTTTATGTTGGAAGCCCTTCCCCGGCACAGCAACCATCGACTGATTTTCAGTGTAAGATCTTCATTTGCCAAGTGACTAAAAACATAAAAGTCCTTCACCGGGCATGGCCACTGCCTTTCACCAAAAGATGCAAATGACACATCACCTCACCCCGCTAAGCCTGCCTGGCGCATTTTCATATGGCCGGAAGGATGATACAGAGCGGTTTGGCTTTGTGGTTTGTGGGAGCGATCGGAACCTTGCGGGGGCCGTTTGAAGAGGAAGCTACGCCAATTCTACGAGTTCGAGCGCGGACCAGATTTGGGTCTGAATTAACCCGAAATGGTCCGGACATCTCTCGGTCCATTTCCACCACTTTCGAGGGGTAACTCGTAAACTTTTCAGAGGCATTTGTGTCAGCTCTTTGTTTGGGCCCTTACAGGTTTCGTTTAGGGCTTCCACTTCGCTTTGGTTCACCTTGGGCTTAACGTTTAAAAGGGGATGCGCTGGAGCTGAAGCTGTGGCTTTTGATGCATCATTTGTATAGTGTTTGGAAACACGTCGTTGGGCTCCAACAACCAGAATTTTGGTCCAGATCCTTTTTTAAGTTGGAATCATGAGGGCTCAGGTATCCTTATTTAGATGAAGGGAAGCCAACGGGAATCAGCCACAAATTGGGGTGTCCGCGCATGTGATTCTAGACACACCCACCGTGGAATGATTCGATTCCCCAAAGTAAATGCCAACAAGCGGTATGGTTTCATGCCCATTGTGACTCATTTCGTGGTGTGAAAAACAGTTTGGATTGCGCAACCATTCACGGTGGGAACCCTTTCTCCCACCAAGATGTCATTTGTGGGGAGGCACCTGAGAGATCAATTTTCCTCTTGAAAGAACCCGGCTCCCTGTCAGGTGCCAAAGAGGGAGTGAGTGAATGGGTGCTTTGATTCCCTTCTCATCCATCAAAGTATCTTCCAACAAAGCTATATGCTTTCATATATTTCAAGGTCAATTCGTTTGCTTTGAAAGGTAATACCACTTAGGTGAAAGGTAGGTCCTGAAAGGGTGTCAGTTTTCATGGTGCCAGGCTCCGGTGCCTAAGGCTCCAGAGGCTCGGGCCTTGGCTTTGGGGGAGGTTTTCAGCGCCGCAACGGCTTTCCTGGTGGTTTTCCCCACATTAACCGGGGGAAGCCTCCAAAAAGACACCCCAAAAAGGACCCGGCTTTTTGCGCTGCTTTTGGTTTGGGGATGGGTTTCATTGAAGGAACCCCAAGAAAACCAGATCCTTTTGGAGAGGCCTCCCTTTTCGGATTCCAATACAACCTGCCGCGGGTCGTTCGTACTGTAAAAGTTGGCACATTCCAGTCGTTTTCCCTAGCAGAAGTCGCGTGCAGATTTATTAGGACATGCCTAAACCTTGTGCCAAGGGCGATGAACCAGTGAGAAGACCTGCGCCGGGAGGACCGCTAACGGCTACGAGTTTCTCCACCCAGGTCGCTCCGCACCAGTCCGGACTGAAACTCATTGAGCAGAGCGACGGACGCTAGAAGATGAGAACGTCGAGAGGGAGCTGTTTGTCAAGCCAGGGCTCAGAGTCAAGGTGTGCGACATCACGGTTCCTGCGCACGCCTTTTCAGAAACGGGGGGAGCGGATCTCGGGAGCGAGCGGGGTCTTTAGAAATGGGACCATTGGCCACAAAAACCAACCTATGCTAAAGGGGTCATAGAGAGTGGTGGGTGTGTTATTTCTAGACTCTTGTCATTTGCGCAGATGCATTTGAGCAACGGACCACCTAGAGTCTCCATGACCCCTAGAAAAAAAGGGGTCATGACCCCTTAATTTAAGGCAATGACCCCATTTTTTAAGGGGTCATGGAGAGTCTAGGCAGAAGTCACTGGGAGTTTGTGGTTCATTTGAGGTAGGCAAAGAAAGGGGGGGATGTCAAATTCCTTCATGAGGGTTGGGGGACTGCCCAAAGACTCACTGCTCCGGTTTGTAGTAGCTTCGGAAAGATTATGTTTGTGACAAAGCAAAACAAACATGTTTGGTTTGTCGCCAATCCATTCGGGTAGTTTGGGAGTAATGTTGCCCAGAAATAGGATAGCCGCCATATTTGTTTCAAGCCTAAATAAAAATTATAAAAAAGAAGTTATAGATTATTCACACTTTAAAATAAATTAATTTAATAATAGAATAACAAAATATTTTTCTACTATTAAATATATAAGTAATGGAAACATTAGATATTGAAGACCGATTACACGAAGGTAAATTAAGGTTTCGCTTGAAGGATGGTGCTTCTTATATTAGAATGAAAGAAAGTAAAAACGTTTATCCTTCATCTGTTTCAACATATACATCAGGTGGTTCATCATTAATAAGATGGAATATTACAGGACCACCGAACCAGTGGTTGGATTGTAAAAGTCTTGTAATGGGCTTTACATTGAATAACACTGATGAAACAGCAGGGCATATATTAAGACCCATTGAGGCAAACGCCTTTTTTAGTCGTATTCGTGTATTGATGGGGGATGTTGTAGTTTGCGACCTTACATCGCTTCCACGTGTTGAGAAGATGCACGATGTTTTGAAGTCGTCAGACCAAAACAGAATTGACGAAAACTTAGGGTTTGGTAATTCGTTTATGAATAACGACCATAGATTTTTGAGTGTTACAACCACAGATGCAGGAGATATTGAAGATAGAGTTAAGAGGTCTGTAAGCACGAGCAATATGTTAGGTATTAATCCTAAATCTTTTGTTAATGTATTTTATGACCCCGATATAAAGTGTTTTAGAACTGTAGATAATTTCATTCCAATTTCGTATTGTCCTATTACCGTAGAGATGTATTTATGTAATAATGCGTCAGACCCTATCATTGTTGGTGGTGCTTCCAGTTCTTTTACTGATGCTAATACAAGTAAGTTATGGTCTATTACAAAACCGCTTTTCAAAGGAAATGTTTATACCCTCGACGATTCTTTATACGCCGAATACAGTAACATTGTAGAAACTGGTTCTCTTCCAATTACTTTTGAAACTGAAACAATACAAGAACAGACAGTATCTGAAAGTTCTGAACTTTTCACAACAATTGTCAGGAATGTTTCTAAACTTAATAAGATATCTATTTCATTTGGTAGGGAAGTTGCCCCAGTTGATTATGATGGTTATGTTGGTTCTTTTGGATAAATTTGTAAATGGTGGAATGCTATGTATCATCCACTGGCTCAAAGTACTTCTGTATTGTATGGCGGTTATGATAGTCATTATGATTTGTCAGCCTCTCTTGTAATTGGTAATCAAGTAATCCCCACACAAGAAGTGCAAGGTGTTAAAGAAGCGTATTTACATCTTATGCATTGCTCTGAAAAACCCTTTTTAATTCGTGCAGAAGATTACCAAACACAAAAGTTTATGTTTGGTTTTAATGCGATGAAATTTGAAAATAGTTCCTATACCGGAATGAATTTAAAAAAATAATAATTCTAATATGGTTCTGCGTGTGAAACCACTTGATGGGACTACTTTATATACAAGTGCAGTAATGCCGAAAACCCTTTACCTGCTACTTCAGCACGAGTGTATTCTTGAAATCCGGTCAAATTCTGTAACATTTTATGATTAAATACAAAAAATATGATATTATTAATTTTCTAATTAATAATATAATATTATGAGCAAAAACTTAATGAATGTCTTTGATATTACAGCAAATAGAATTAGGCAAGTAAAATATGGAGCAGTCAATGATATAGAAGACCTTTACGCAAGTAAATCTGACATTCAAACAGTATTAGATAGTAAAGCAGACCAAGCAGACACCTACACAAAGGAGCAGATAAATGCTAATTTTTATGATAGAACTGAAGCATATGACAAAACAGAAATTAATGTATTATCAAATAATATTAGTTCAAATTCATTTTGAATAAGTAATCTGACAATAACTTCAATTACAAATTTTAATAATATTTCATCAAACACAAATTTAATAAATAATTTAAATTCTACTATGACAACTAATTTTAATAATATTTCTTCAAATACTAATTTAATTAATACAAATTTTAATAATATTTCTTCAAATACTAATTTAATTAATACAAGTTTCAATAATACTTCTTCAAATACACATTTAATAAATAATTTAAGTTCTACTATAACAACTAATTTTAATGATATTAGTTCTATTTCTAATTTAATAACAGGATTGAATAGCACAGTAAATTCACATATTACTGCAATTTTAAATTTACAGAACGGAGGTTCATTTAATGAAGCAGATTACTATAATAAATTAACAACTAATAATTTATTATCAGAAAAATTAGATACACCAATATTAAATAATACATTAATTCATAGTATAACAACTACTTCAATTTCGGAAAGTATAATAATTTCTTTGAAATGTATAATAATTATTTTGATAGTTATGTTTATGGGAGTTTGGCAGGTTCAACAATGTTTTTAAATCAAAGAGGTGTTGGAGATGTAGAAATTAATAATTCTTCAACTTTTCAAAATGATAAAACAATATTAAATCATAATACTACAATATTAAGTAATTTACAAGTATCTGGTTTATTTTCGTGTTCATCTATTTTAGATATAGCAGGTTCAGACGCTCGTTATGGTTTACAATCAGATGGATTAAGTGGATTAATAACAGGAAACACAAATGCAATTAATTCAATAATTACTATCAATAATTCACAGGATACATCATTAGGACAAAAGTTAGATAAGATAGATACTAACGCTCAATCAATGGCAGGTGCTATTAATTTTAGTGATAATACAACTTTACACAGTAATTTAAATATGTTAACTACTGGTTCTATAATATGTAATAAGTTTAGTACTACATCGTCGCCTAATGTTGGATTGCAAATGACTTTTCAAATGTTTATTCGTGAATTTAATATTAACAGAGATGGCAGAATGTGGATGAGTTCAAGTGGTGGTCAATGGGAAACTCAAATAGGAGATGCTAATGTTGGAAGAGTTTGGGTAAAGGATAGATTTGGTTTAGGTGCCGTTGGAGTTAATGGTTATGTTTTCAATTGTGCTAGACAAGCAAGATTTACTGATGCAGTTCAATTTATAGGAACTGACAAAGCAATAAGTTTTAACAATGGTTCATATTTGAATTTTACTAATAATGGTTCAATACGAAGATATACTCCTGATGCTATAGAAGGTTTATATATGTCTCATAATGATTTTGTTGCAGTTAGTGTTGGCGATGTTAATAATGCTTCTAATCAATATTTTATGTGTGATGGATTAGTGAATAAAACTATTTTTAGTAAACCTATAGATGTGTTAGGTAATATTTATACAAATGCTGCTGTTAATTGTGATAATGTTAATATTGATACCGACGGTAAATTACCAATTGATACAAATTGTGAATTATATAGATATGTTAGTGCTTTTTCATCTTTTGATATGAGGAATAGTGATGCTAATTCTTCAATTAGGTTTATCTGTGGAGATCCTGCTATTCAATCTAATATAGTTGGAGCAGTTAATATTTCTAGCGGATGGACTTTTAATACTGCTACTGCTGATTTTATGGGTAATTTATTTGCTGATGATGCTTATGTTAAAACTGGTGGAGCATTAAGAAGTAATCATATAGCGCCTAATGGTGGAACATTAGTAACCGTTGATACTAACTTAGCAGTTCAAAATGCATATTTAGCAACTAATACCATTCAATCATTTGATTTAACAACGGTTTCATGTTTGAATAATATTTCAATGACTTCTGGAACAGACATAAAGATGGGAACAAGTGAAATATCAACTTATTACGATGGAACTAGTTTATCTACAATTGATGTAATATTCAGAACATCAAATACAGCGTTTAGAGTAGCAGATAGTTCAAGTACACCTTCAGTTTTATTATCTATTGATAAGACATTTGGAACGACAGTGAATACTGGAAGTTTTACAAATAATGCTCCATCGACTTTTAATGAAAATGTAACAGTTGTTAATACAAAAACATTATTTGTTAATGATATTCAATATGCTTCAGGCAATGCTATTGATATTACCGCTGGAACTGTAACCATAAATGGAAGTC